CACACTGTTAATCTCACACATCACGTCAACAGTGTAGGGTGATCAGCTTTTATAATCATTAACATCATATGTTCTGGAAAGTCAGGTCAATATACCCTAAAAGCTAGGATTGAACAGGAGCTAGTGTTAACATATGACCAGTATGCATCCTGAAAGACATGTGCCTTAGGAAATGGAGTTTCATGATAAAATTTACCAGAAACTGTTCCTCAGATCATAACAGATCATTTCTATGTATTAGTAAAATCACACCACGGGCTCAATATGCAAACTCATCTTGGCTTCCCATAAACGTCCAATTGGTAGATACAAATGGTCCAGCAGTGTTAGAACCGCAAATATACACAGATCTCAGTGTAGTCATCATTCATGAGAATTCGAACAGTACCCATTTTGTTGGAATGGACAAGGATTGGCAGAATTGAATTAGCCATAGAAACATAGAAGATAGGAGCAGGAGGAGGCCATTTGGCCCTTCGAGCCTGCTTCACCATTCTTCATAGTCATGGCTGATTGTCCAAATCAATAGCCTAATCCTGCTTTCTCCCCATAGCTTTTGATCCCATTCACCCAAGCGCTATATCTAGCTGCCTCTTGAGCACATTCAATGTTTTGGCATCAACTACTTCCTGTAATGATGAATTCCACAGGCTTACCACTGTCTGGGGGAAGAAATGTCTCCTCATCTCCATCCTAAATGGTCTAACCTGAACCCTCAGACTGTGATCCCTGGTTCTGGACACAGCCAATGGTCTGAAACAGCTGTCCCCAGGCCACTTCGACATGATCAGCAGTCTAAGGGTGATATAATATTGCATCACAACATACAGCATGCACAATCGGGAGAAGCTGTGAGTGGAACTGAATGAGATGGAGTGAAGTGGTATCATTCAAGAGGTCAACCACAACACAGACTGCTATAGCTCTAGCATGAGTCACTTTTTCACTTAAGAGATGACACACACCAGACCCTACATATCCTGGAACCAGATTCTTTTCCAATTTAGGTGCAAAGCATGTCTATTGGTCCATCTATTATGTGAAGCTCATGACTTTTAGGATGCTATTTGGATGGTGCTGTTTCTAATGGTTACCATTTAGACTACCCAAGGATGTATTCTTTCAGCAGATGGACAGGATTGTTAAAATGTACCTGGCTGTGTTAGCATAGCTGATGAGATCCAAGGTACATAGGCCTCAGACTCCATCTTAATTCAGGCTACAAGAAACATTACATGCCGATGGAAGCATGCTAAGTTTGGAACCAAAAAACTTAGTAATAGCCCAGACCCTGAATTGCCAGTGTCTGTACTATATGTATAGATCGGGAATTGTAAGAAGCATCAGTTGAATCCTTCACTATCACATGTCTAGATCTTACATTACAGCAGCTAGCATCAGCATTGCCACATGTGGAGTCTTATCCTTCCTATAACAGGGTGCCCAGAACTTGACACAACGAAGCGGCTTCACCAACCTCAACATAACATCCCAACTGCTCCAGTCAAATGTCTGAGCAACGAAGGCAGGCATGCTAAACACCTTCTTAACCACCCTAACTATATGTGATGCAAACTTCAAAGAATTATGTCTCTCTGTTCTACAACATTATCCAAGGCCTTACTTTTGATTGCATAAGTCCTGCGTTTGTTTGTTTTACCAAAATGCAATACCTTGCATTTATCCAAACTCCATCTGCCACTCCTCAGCCCATTGACCCAGTTGATCAAGATCTCCCTGTAATCTTAGATACAAAATGCTGCAGGAGGCATAATCTACATCATGGTAGAGTGACTGCAAGGACTCTTCTTCGGTGGTTCTTCGAAGAAATCACAAGGACTCACCAAGTTAACTCTGTTTCTGCCTCCACTAATTCTGAGTTTCTCTGGCACTTTGTTTTAATTAGAGCAGTGGCAATATCCTGTTTCACATCCCTCAATCACCTGAACAAGCACCCGACCAGGAAAAGTAGTAGCAAAGGTGGCAAAGGTTGCCATTGAGATGGAATGTGAAGCATTCATGTCTAATTGACTCGTATGCCCAGGTTAATCAATACTTGAATTTTCAGTGTGACTCCCAGCACTGCAAGAGTAGATTAGCTTTCTCTGCGGAGAGCTGAGAAGCAAAATCTTGAGATGTGATGGATATGACGGATGGAACAAAAGACATGCCATGGTCCGCTGCTGACAGCAGTAAATGTTGCCATGGTGACAGTGGGAAATTGTTCCTACGTAAATCGCTCATAAAATGTACAGCACCCTTTAGGTTGTGTGAGACATGGGGTGAGCAGCATTATCGAATTACCGTGAGTAAATTCCCTGATCACTGTCACAGTCAGGCCCCTGCTGAATGCCCTGGAGAAAGAACATATCTTGGTCAGTTGCTAAGCAGCTGTCAGATCGAGGGCTCATTAACAATTATTTAATTTAAGAAGTAGTGGGCATTGTTTAACAACCAGAATGTTCAGGGAAGTGATGATTGTCTTTACCAGACAGGAAGCTAAAAATACCAGCAGCAGTGGAAACTGCTGCAGCTTTCCCTTTAGTTCCTGTCTCATCTTAACCACCCATCTCCATGGCAACAAGGAACATAAAATAGGGTCGATAAAGCTGCAGAAAGACGTGACTTGGGTCTTACTGCTTGTGCTGGGGTTGCATCCCAGTCCCCAGAGGTACAATGGTAGCATGCCAGCCTACATCACTATGTAATCGCTCAGCTCACCTGTCTGGGCTTCAGTCCAGCAGCAAGAACACTGACCTTTGCAAAGCTGTAAGTCAGAAAAAGGTGTGAAGACTGGAAGCCAGGAAATAGGAGCATCCCCACTGGGATCTGCACCGCAATTATTGAGCGGTTTGATCGTGTTTTGTGCATGAGACACAGGTATTAGGGCAAGAGCTGAATGGCTGGGAGTGAAGAAAAGAAAATTTGCGATTATATAGTACTGTTCAAGACAAAAGCTGTCCCAAATCCTCTACAACCAATGTTTTTTTTAACTCATTCATGGGATGTAGCTAGGTCATCCCTAATTGCCCTAGAGAAGCTGGTGGTGACTGCTTTCTTGAATTACTGCAGCCTTCAAATAATTTTGAATACTGTTGGAATGTAGGGAATGGGCTGCTAATTTTGCACACAGCAATAAGTGAATGATCACTAAATGATTTGAATGATTTTAGTTGAGGGATAAATTTTGGTCAAGCCAATGGGGACATTGGTCGTCTTCAAAGTGCCATGAGATTATTACACCAAAGCTGGCAGAAAGATGGGACTTCAATTTAATATTCTACTGGAAGTACAACAGTTCTGATAATGCAATACTTCCTCAGTGCTGCACAGGAGTGTCAATAGGGCTAATGAGCTCAAGTCCTGGGAGTGGGAATCACCGCCCTTCATAGTGTGGCAAAAACTTGATGGAGTGCAGCAACAAGGAATCTTGAAGTCAATGAGGGTTAAAAGGAACAGCCATCAGTGAATGGAGTCTTCTTCAAAGTGTTCGTTGTCTCCAGTGTCCTGAGGAAGGGTCGCTGGACCCGAAACGTTAACTCTGATATTTTTCTTCACAGATGTTGCCAGACCTGAGATAACAAGGTGTAGAGCTGGATGAACACAGCAGGCCAAGCAGCATCAGAGGAGCAGGAAGGCTGACGTTTCGGGCCTAGACCCTTTGTT